GAGAAGGAAAGAAGGAGGAAAGGGTAGAAGGGAAGGATGGAAGGAGAAGGAGGGAAGGCAGAAGGAAGGAAGGAGAAAGAGAAGGAAGAAAGGAAGGACAAAAGGGTGGGAGGGAGGAAAGAGAAGGAAGGAAGGAGGAAAGGGTAGAAGGGAAGGAGGAGGAGAAGGAAGGGAAAGAAAGGAAAAACGAAGGAAGGAGAAGAGGAGAGAAGGAAGAAAGGAAGGACAAAAGGCTGGGAGGGAAGAAGGAAGAAAGGAGGGAAGGATGGAAGGAGAGGGAGTTAAGGAAGAAGGAAGGAAAGTCAAAATGGAAGGAAGAAAGGAGGGAAAAAGAGAGAAGGAAGAAAGGAAGGACAAAAGGGTGGAAGGAAAGAGCGAAGGAAGGATGGATAGGATGTTAAGAGACAGGAGGGCCTGAGAAAAGAGCCCAAGGGTCCACATCCGGGCCTGGGTTTGCCCATGCTTGATTTCGGCCTACAATCCATTGGTCTTATTGTTATCTATACATATAAGTGAAAATATGTATGTGCGACTGGAGTGTCCACTCCCACAGACAAGCTCCTGCCTCCACAGGAGTTTGTCTGTGGAGGCACTACTCATGAGGCACCACCGAAGGCCCTCCCCCAGTGACATTCAGGTTACAGTGAGTGCCATGGACATGTTCAGGAGCCCTGACAATGTCCTCCACAAACACCATCCTGCCCACCACCCAAGGGAAGGCTTTCATATGGGGACCATTTCCTCCTAGATTTTGTTTTTCCTCCACCAGACATCCCAGTGTTTCTGACTCTCTCCATTGGTGTGAAGTTGTGATCATTGAAAGAAGCCATACTGGCCTTTTTCAGGAGTTCTTTGCACATTGTGCTCAAAAGAGATTTGCTGCATGTAGATCAGTCATGGGAAAACCAAGCAGCTATGGAAGAAACTCAGAACATGGAAGTGTTTTTGGGTTTTTTTTAATTCATGTACCATTACATTTCAGGAAGTTTACTTCGCATTCCTTCCCACCCCCAGAGTTAGGTTTGCAAACTTAACAAACATAAGTAGTAGAAGTTATTTAAACAAATGTTGTGACTTATAAAAAAGTGGCTTTCTGACATGGAATTGGCATGTTAAAATTACCTGCCATTGCAATAAGCTCAGACATGAGCAAACTTGGGCCCTCCAAGCTGTTAGGAATTGTGGGAGTTGAAGTCCAAAACACCTGGAGGGCTGAAGTTTGCTCATGCCTGCTCTAGCTCTTGAAAAGCACAATGCAACACAAAAACACGGAAGTGTTCAATGAGTTATACCTGTACAAATGAGTGCCCAGCCCAACAAGACAATGTCTCCATACATTTGCTTTCTATTCCAACTTTTTTCCATACTTAAAGACACCCATTTCTCTTATCTCCCCTCCCCCCAAGAAATCGAGCAACTATTGCCTTATTTTCTGGCCTGGATGTTCAAAATATTCCTTTCCTCGCTACCTATTGGTTGTTCTCATCCAAATTCATTATTAACAGTGTCCATTAAGGTGCAGGTGAGATGGGATGGAAATAAAAACAAGGGTGGGTCAAAAAGTTTTGCCTCCTGGGTCATAAAAACATGATGAATGATCCTTGACCAGCAGAAGTGGCTCCAGATCATAGGCTGTACTGTACTCTACGCAAAACTACAGTTCAACATAGTCCCCATCAATTTGCACACATTTGCGCCATCATTTAACCCAAGCATCATTTGGAAAAATTCAGGGTTTCGCTTGGTGACCCATAATTTTAAAGTTGTTTTGACATCATTCAAGACATTGCATCTGAAACCACATAGGTTGTCTTTCGGAGGTCCAAACAGGTAAAAGATTGAGTTATTGTGTATCTTCCAGGCTGTCTGGCCATGTTCCAGAAGCATTCTCTCCTGACGTTTCACCTGCATCTATGGCAGGCATCCTCAGAAGTTGTGAGGTCTGTTGGAAGCTAGGAAAATGGGATCTGTTGGAAACTAGGAATACTCCATTTTCCTAGTTTCCAACAGGCGAAACATCAGGTGAGAATGCTTCTGGAACATGGTCATACAGCTTGGAAAACACACAACAATCCAGTGATTCCGGCCGTGAAAGTGTTTGATAACAGGTAAAAGATTTAATGACTTGAATGATGTTAAAACAGGTTTGAAATCATGGGTCACGAAGCAAACCCCTGATTTTTTTTCCAAAATGGGTTTGATACCTGAGTTAACCGATGGTGCAAATGTGTCCAAATTGATGGTGATAATGTTGAACAGTGGTTTTGCACAGAAGACAGTTCAGGCTAGGATCTGGAGCAACTTCTTCTGCTCTAGGTTCACTCATAATGTTTTTATGACACAGGAAGCAAAACTTTTTGACCCACCATCGTACTTCGGATTCTGACAAAGATCTCAAAGGTACACCACTGTCTTTGGCAGTGTTTTCCCATGGCCGCCAACTTTTACTACTTTCCATGGCTGTGGATTAAGACTTTGCGAGGTATAGTACAAATAGTTTTGATTTCATGGAAAGTGTCAACTTCTGGCGGACAGTGAGGAGTACTGTCCGCCAGAAGTTGACACTTGCCATGAGATTAAATGATGGAAGTGCTGTTAGGCCAGAGGTTCTCTAGCTGTGGGTCCCCAGATGTTTTGGCCTACAACTCCCAGAAATCCCAGCCAGTACCAGCTGTTAGGATTTCTGGGAGTTGAAGGCCAAAACATCTGGAGACCAAAACAGGTTGGGAACCACTGTGTTAGGCCAAGACTTGGTACAACATACAAAATACTTAGAGACCATTTCCTCATATCTTGGACCTTCCTAGACCCCACAGAATACAGTGGAATTTTACAAACACACCAAAACATCCCAAGGACTCTTTAGGGACATGGAAGGTACAAACGTGCCCTCATGCCCCTTAGTAGTACTTGGGGACAAAGCATTTTGGGCTTCTCGGGAATCAGATGTTCCCCTCCAAGGTCTCCAGAAGGATGGATTCCTTAATGCCCTCATCTTCTTTAGTTGCCTATGACGAAGGAAGCATGGCTGCAACTCAAGAGAAGCAATAGCAGTGACCCATGTTGAAAGCATCCAGGAGAAATGTGTCAACAAAAAGAACTCAATCCATGCAAACCAACACTTTTGACTTGAAAAGGTTTTGGTTCAGGCCTGGGCAAACTTCAGCCTGCCCTCCAGATGTTTTGGACTTCCACCATTCCTAACAGCCTAAGGCTCCTTCCTTCTCCCTCTCAGCTGCTTAAGCCTGAGGCTGTTAGGAACTATGGAAGTCCAAAGCATCTGGAGGGAAGGCTGAAGTTTGTGGAAACTGCCCCAATTATGGTAGGAGACGGGCAAGACATGTGGTGGCTGAGAGCGCTCCGGAGAGTGCTCTGGAGAGCTCTCAGCCACCATGTGCCACCATGTGCCCTCCTCAAGCCATCCTCTTGACATAAGGATGGGGCTGCTTGCACCGTCCTTATGCTGGTAGGAGGGTGGGACATGCAGTGGCTGAGAGCACTCCAGAGAGTTCTCAGCCGCCAAGTGCCTTCCTTCTGGCATAAGGATGGGGCCGCTTGCACCGTCCTTATGCTGGTAGGAGGGCGAGACATGCGGTGGCTGAGAGCACTCAGGAGAGCTCTCAGCCGTGTGCTTTCCTCAAGCCGTCCTCCTGACATAAGGATGGGGCCTCTTGCACCGTCCTTATGCTGGTAGGAGCTCAGGGGAGCTCTCAGCCATTGTGTGCCTTCCTTCTGGCATAAGGATAGGGCCACTTGCACCGTCCTTATGCCAGTAGGAGGGCAAGACATGCGGCAGCTGAGAGCTCTCAGCCATGTGCCTTTCTCAAGCCGTCTTCCTGACATAAGGATAGGGCCTCCTGCACTGTCCTTATGCTGGTAGGAGCTCAGGGAAGCTCTCAGCCACTGAGTGCCTTCCTCCTGGCATAAGGATAGGGCCACTTGCACCGTCCTTATGCTGGTAGGAGGGCGAGACATGCGGTGGCTGAGAGCACTCAGGAGAGCTCTCTGCCGTGTGCCTTCCTCAAGCCGTCCTCCTGACATAAGGATGGGGCCTCTTGCACCATCCTTATGCTGGTAGGAGCTCAGGGGAGCTCTCAGCCATTGTGTGCCTTCCTTCTGGCATAAGGATAGGGCCACTTGCACCGTCCTTATGCCAGTAGGAGGGCAAGACATGCGGCGGCTGAGAACACTCAGGAGAGCTCTCAGCCGTGTGCCTTCCTCAAGCCGTCCTCCTGACATAAGGATGGAGTCTCTTGCACCGTCCTTATACTGGTAGGAGCTCAGGGGAGCTCTCAGCCATTGTGTGCCTTCCTTCTGGCATAAGGATAAGGCCACTCGCACCGTCCTTATGCCAGTAGGAGGGCAAGACATGCGGCGGCTGAGAGCACTCAGGAGAGCTCTCAACCGTGTGCCTTCCTCAAGCCGTCCTCCTGACTTATGGATGGGGCCTCTTGCACCGTCCTTATGCTGGTAGGAGCTTAGGGGAGCTCTCAGCCATTGTGTGCCTTCCTCCTGGCATAAGGATAGGGCCACTTGCACCGTCCTTATGCCAGTAGGAGGGCAAGACATGCGGCGGCTGAGAACACTCAGGAGAGCTCTCAGCCGTGTGCCTTCCTCAAGCCGTCCTCCTGACATAAGGATGGAGTCTCTTGCACCGTCCTTATACTGGTAGGAGCTCAGGGGAGCTCTCAGCCATTGTGTGCCTTCCTTCTGGCATAAGGATAAGGCCACTCGCACCGTCCTTATGCCAGTAGGAGGGCAAGACATGCGGCGGCTGAGAACACTCAGGAGAGCTCTCAGCCGTGTGCCTTCCTCAAGCCGTCCTCCTGACTTAAGGATGGGGTCTCTTGCACCGTCCTTATACTGGTAGGAGCTCAGGGGAGCTCTCAGCCACTGCGTGCCTTCCTCCTGGCATGAGGATAGGGCCACTTGCACCGTCCTTATGCCAGTAGGAGGGCAAGACATGTGGTGGGTGAAAGCACTCCAGGGGGCTCTCAGCTGCTGCGTGCCTTCTTCTCTCCCTCCCTCATCTTTTTGGAATAAGGATATGGTGGGCCACCATGTCCTTATGCCAAGAGGACAAGGAAAATAAGGAGGGCCTCAGGTAAGCATCCAGGGTCTGCATCTGGCCCCCGTGCCTTAGTTTGCCCATGCCTTGCTTAAGTGGAAAAGGAAAGGGAAAAGCCCTGGGGCTGTTAGGAATTGTGGGAGTTGAAGCCTTAAACACCTGGAGGGAAGGCTGAATTAAGGGATTAGATTTAGTTTGGGAATAAACTTGGGTATTTGTTTCTTCCTGACAAAGGCAGTGAAAGCCTAACTTTACGGGAAAGCAGTGGGCAGTTTATTGGGAGTCCAAATGAAGGGATTCCCACCTTCCTCGTTTCCATAAACTGACCTTGTTTCCCTTAACAGAGGCTGCTGCCGCTTCTTGCCGAAGTGCACTTTTACAGGCATGTCAGCAGCACACCCCTTTCAGATGTCAAAATCCCACTACCCTCTTCCTTTCTGAACAGGGCACGTCCATCACCGGCCATCATCCAGATCTCATTTCCCAAAATCCCACCACCCTCTTCCTTTCTGAACAGGGTGAGTCCATAACTGACCGGCCGCTATCCGGGCCTCATTTCTGCCCTTGTTTCCCCATTACAAGTTCAGCGCCCACAACTTACAGTCTCATCCAGAACATTACATCGAAAGCATGGAGTCTCTCGCCCACTTGTGTCTCTCGGTCTCATCCTCCGGCTAGGATGAATGCTCCCGCTTTGGGGACATGCACAGGCAACCCGTGCAAGGAGCCGTTGGCAGTCAGGTTGGAAGCATCGCCAGCCATGTCCAGCTTCTGGGTCTTAAAATAGACAATATAAAACACAGGCAAAATAATTCCAACAAGGAGCATCACGAAGACGGCGTTCCACCACTGGATGCCACAATCTGCTCCGCTCGTGGCTTCTTTTGGCCGCGGAGGGGACCAGCCCGGCGTTTCAATGCAATAGTCTGGGCTTGGCGAGACCGTCGCTTGCGTCACTTGTGCCGCTTGTTCTATGTTCTCGTCAATCCCTCTGAAATACTGATCAATGGGTTCTCTGTTGTCACTGTCATTGCCTTCCAGCAGTTCAGCCAGTGACACAGCGGCGCTGTGTGGCAACTCTTCTCTCGTTTCCGTCAATACGCCGTTGACCTTGACGGGAATTTTGATGGATTTCAGAGCATACAAGTCTTGTTCCCGGATAAAGTTATTGACCCGTTTGATGTCTGCAACCTGAGAATTCAGAGGGAAACGTCACTTCTGCAAGTAAGTACACACGATGAAAGCCTTTGACAACACATTATCCAGGCTTTGTTCTGATCCAGCGTGGCAATTAATTCCCTGAACAATCTTCATCTGCTTAAGTCAGTAGTTCTCAACCTTCCTAATGCCAAGACCCCTTAGTACAGGTCCTCCTGTTGTGGTGACCCCCAACCATAACATTATTTTCGCTGCTACCTCATAACTGAAATTTTGCTACTGTTATGAATCGCAATGTAAATATCTGATATGCAGGATTTAGCTTTATTCACTGGACCAAATTTGGCACAAATACCTGATATGCCCACATTTGAATACTGGTGGGATTAGAGGGGGGATTGATTTTGCCATTTGGGAGTTGTAGTTGCTGGGATTTATAGTTCACCTACAAGCAAAGAGCAGTCTGAACTCCACCAATGATGGAATTGAACCAAACTTGGCACATAGAATTCCCATGACCAACAGAAAATACTGGAAGGGTTTGGTGGGCATTGACCTTGAGTTTGGGAGTTGTCGTTCACCTACATCCAGAGAGCACTGTGGACTCAAACAATGATGGATCTGGACCAAACTTGGCACAAACTCAATATGCCCAAATGTGAACACTGTTGGAGTTTGGGGGGAAACAGACTTTGACATTTGGGAGTTGTAGTTGCTGGGATTTATAGTTCACCTACAAGCAAAGAGCAGTCTGAACTCCACCAATGATGGAATTGAACCAAACTTGGCACATAGAATTCCCATGACCAACAGAAAATACTGGAAGGGTTTGGTGGGCATTGACCTTGAGTTTGGGAGTTGTAGTTCACCTACATCCAGAGAGCACTATGGACTCAAACAATGATGGATGTGGACCAAACTTGGCAGGAATACTCAATATGCCCAAATGTGAACACTGGTGGAGTTTGGGGAAAATACACCTTGACCTTTGAGAGTTGTAGTTGCTGGGATTTATAGTTCACCTACAATTAAAGAGCATTCTGAACCCCACCAATGATAGAATTGAGCCAAACTTCCCACACAGAATCCTCATGACCAACACAAAATATTGTGTTGTCTGTTGGTCTTTGGCGACCCCTCTGACACCCCCTCGCGACCCTCCCAGGGGTCCCGACCCCCAGGTTGAGAACCACTGGCTTAAGTTATACCAGTTGTGACTCTGCTCTCCCTAACCTCGAGCAGTTCTTCCCATTAAGCCAAGTGGCACTTGACCAGCACAAAGGACAGAGAGGATGGCATGAAAATCATGGAAAACGCCCACCATGCTTTTTAATGTTGGCCTGTCAACTTGCATGGCCTGCCTAGACTGACAACCAGAAATCAGTTTCATGAAAGGCATAATTTGTAACATGGCAGGTGCAGACAAATGGAATCCTTTGAACCCGTTTGCTTCTCACCTTGCATCCGTACTGCAGGGCCAGCTTGTTGAGGCTGTCGTCTTCCCTGACTTCTCGTTCCAGGAAGACAGTGTCCCTGACTTTCTCGCGGGAAGCGTTCCTTTGCTGGAGCTCCTTCCCCCTCGCTCGCAATTCCATCACATCCAGCTCTTCCTCCGAGGACGACTCCGACTCCGACCGTTCGCTTCGGAACAGGTAAACCTGGCTGCTGGAGAATTTGCGCACTGCTGTCGGAGCTTGGAAGGACGTGACCGGCCCTTGGTTGAGCCTCATGGTTTGCAGAAGGTCCTCCCTGCAGGGGAAAACAAAGAATTTGAGAAATTTCGAATCAGTGACAGAAAAACTTCCTCTCAACAGCTTGGCCAAGTTACTTGACGCTACAGACTGAGCTGACCTTTAATGTCCAGCAAAGAGGCCCTCATTTCCACACCATCCAGGCCCAACTTGCATTTAAAATCTACTAGAGAAGGCACGTTTTCGAGGGCAGCTCAGAAGCTATGGAACGCACTGCTGGAAGAAGTCAGATCGGCTCCAAACCTGGTGTAATTCAGAAGTCAGATCGGCTCCAAACCTGGTGTAATTCAGAAGTCAGATCGGCTCCAAAACTGGTGTAATTACCTGGTGTAATTACAAACCTGGTGTAATTACACCTGGTGTAATTGCTTGTCTATAAAGCTATTGTCCTCCCAACCCTGCTATATGCCTGTGAGACGTGGACTGTCTACAGACGTCACATGCAACTCCTGGAACGATTCCATCAGCGCTGCCTCCGGAAAATCCTGCAAATCTCTTGGGAAGACAAGCAGACAAACGTCAGCGTGCTGGAAGAAGCAAAGACCACCAGCATTGAAGCAATGGTCCTCCAACATCAACTCCGCTGGGCCGGTCACGTTGTCCGGATGCCTGACCACCGTCTCCCAAAGCAGTTGCTCTACTCTGAACTTAAGAACGGAAAACGGAACGTTGGTGGACAGGAAAAGAGATTTAAAGATGGGCTCAAAGCCAACCTTAAAAACTCTGGCATAGACACTGAGAACTGGGAAGCCCTGGCCCTTGAGCACTCCAGCTGGAGGTCAGCTGTGACCAGCAGTGCTGCAGAATTTGAGGAGGCACGAGTGGAGGGTGAAAGAGAGAAACGTGCCAGGAGGAAGGCGCGTCAAGCCAACCCCGACCGGGACCGCCTTCCACCTGGAAACCAATGCCCTCACTGTGGAAGAAGATGCGGGTCAAGAATAGGGTTCCACAGTCACCTACAGACTCACAAGGAAACCCATAATGGAAGACCATCTTACTCGTCCAACGAGGGATCGCCTAAGTAAGTAAGTAAGTAATTCAGAAAACGGCTATTTCCTGTTTAAAATAGCCTTTAACTAAGCGCTTTATGGTTGTATGGGGAATCTATATAAATAAATGCCCTGTGCATAATAAGTACCTTAAAAACAAAAGAACCAATGAATGAAATCACCAAATTTGGCAACAAAATGTCTCACAACACAAGAAGTGACGATCACTGAAAAAATTATGATTTTGTATTTTGGGATTTATAATTAACCTACAATCAAAGAGCATTCCGAACTCCACCAATGATGGAATTGGGCCAAACTTAGCACACAGGGCTCCCATGACAAACAGAAAAAACTGGAAAGGTTTGGTAGACATTGACCTTGAATGGGAATTATAGTTCACCCACATCCAGAGATCTCTGTGGACTCAAACAATGATGGATCTGGACCAAACTTGACACAAATATTCTATATGTCCAAATATGAACACAGATGGAGTTTGGAGGGAATAGACCTTGACATTTGGGAGTTGTACTTACTGGGATTTATAGTTCACCTACAATCAAAGAGCATTCTGAACTCCACCAACGATAGAATTGAACCAAACATGGCATACAGGACTTCCATGACCAACAGAAAATACTGGAAGGTGGGCATTGACCTTGAGTTTGGGAACTGTAGTTCACCTACATCCAGAGAGCACTGTGGACTCAATTAATGATGGATCTGGTCCAAACTCTACACGAATACTCAATATGCACAGATGTGAACACTGGTGGAGTTTGGGGAAAATAGAATCTTGACATTTGGGAGTTGTAGTTGCTGGGATTTATAGTTCACCTACAATCAAAGAGCATTCTGAACCCCATCAATGATAGAATTGGGCCAAAACTCCCACACAGAACCCCCATGTGGGCCACAGCAACACGTGGCAGGGGACAAATATATTAGGAGTCCCTCCTTTTCTTCCCACTCACTCACCTCTTTCCTTCCTCCTCTTCTTCCTTCTTCTTCACTCTTTTCTTTTGCAACCAGGCCCACCTGTTCCTGCTTTGGCTCTCCGCCTCGCGATTGGCCGAAAAGTCCCAGAGTAGGCGTGTCGGAGCAGCGCCGCGGCCAATCGCCTGGCGAGGATTGGCAAGCAGCGTGGTAGGTTGCGCCCACGAGTCAAGCTTCAACGCAGGGCGGAGGGAGGGGCTTGAAATTAAAGGGACAGGACCCCCTTTCCCCCCTTCTTTGAAACACAATCTCACCCTTCCCAGTAGAAGAGTATTGCCACAGCAGAACGCAAGAGCACATCACATATTGACAAGCTGGAATGTGTCCAGAGGAGGGCGACTCAAATGATCAAGGGTCTGGAGAACAAGCCCTATGAGGAGCGGCTTAAGGAGCTGGGCATGTTTAGCCTGAAGAAGAGAAGGCTGAGAGGAGATGATAGCCATATATAAATATGTGAGAGGAAGCCACAGGGAGGAGGGAGCAAGCTTGTTTTCTGCTTCCCTGGAGACTAGGACGCAATGGAACAATGGCTTCAAACTACAAGAGAAGATTCCATCTGAACATGAGGAAGAACTTCCTGACTGTGAGAGCCGTTCAGCAGTGGAACTCTCTGCCCCGGAGTGTGGTGGAGGCTCCTTCTTTGGAAGCTTTTAAACAGAGGCTGGATGGCCATCTGTCAGGGGTGCTTTGAATGCCATATTCCTGCTTCTTGGCAGAATGGGGTTGGACTGGATGGCCCATGAGGTCTCTTGCAACTCTTTGATTCTATGCTTCTATGATCATCTACACTGTAGAATTAACGCAGTTTGATGCCGCGTTTGCTGCTGTGTATGTATGTAATCCTACCTACATACAGAGTCATGTAAAAGCTATGCTTCACCCAGCTGCAGCTTTCACAAGTTGCATGGCATTCAGCCAAGGCAGTTAAAGTGGTGTGAAACCGCCTTAATTCCACGGTATAGACGCTCCCAGAGTGCCCCACAGTCTTAGCATTGCTTTTGACTCATGGGGCATTTTTAAAGCCTTATCCCCAATTATGTGGCAGTGTAGATAGTTATGATCCAGTTCATATCAGATAATTGGGGATCAGATCCTGGGATATAGCGCAGTGTAGATGCAGCCAGACTGGTATTACTGTTATTTATCTATGACTGTTATATGGCTATTCCATTAGTCGTCTGTGCGCATTCAGAAGAAGACCCACAAGCCACTCTAAACACCTTTGCAGAAGCATACGAGAAGCTCGGCCTGTCATTGAACATCGAGAAAACCAAAGTGCTCTTCCAGCCCCTCTCCAATGCCAGAAATACGGCTTAATGATGTAACATTAGAAAATGTTGACCATTTCCGCTCCCTTGGCAACCACCTCTCCACCAAAGTCAACACCGACACCGAAATACAACACCGCCTGAGCTCTACGAGTGCAGCATTTTTCCGAATGAAGCAGAGAGTGTTTGAGGACTGGGACATCCGTAGGGATACCAAGGTGCTTGTTTATAAAGCTATTGTCCTCCCAACCTGCTATATGCCTGCGAAACGTGGACTGTCTACAGATGTCAACATTGACACTGAAATACAACACCGCCTGAGTGCTACGAGTGCAGCATTTTTCCGAATGAAGCAGAGTGTGTTTGAGGACTGGGACATCTGTAGGAATGCCAAGGTGCTTGTTTATAAAGCTATTATCCTCCCAACCCTGCTATATGCCTGTGAGACATGGACTGTCTACAGATGTCAACATTGACACCGAAATACAACACTGCCTGAGCTCTGCGAGTGCAGCATTTTTCCGAATGAAGCAGAGAGTGTTTGAGGACCGGGACATCCGTAGGGATACCAAGGTGCTTGTTTATAAAGCTATTGTCCTCCCAACCCTGCTATATGCCTGCGAGACGTGGACTGTCTACAGACGTCACATGCAACTCCTGGAACGATTCCATCAGCGCTGCCTCTGGAAAATCCTGCAAATCTCTTGGAAAGATAGGCGGACAAATGTCAGCGTGCTGGAAGAAGCATTGAAGCGATGGTCCTCCGCCATCAACTTTGCTGGACCGACCACTTTGTCCGGATGCCTGACCACCATCTCCCAAAGCAGTTGCTCTACTCCGAACTCAAGATTGGAAAACGGAATGTTGGTGGACAGGAAAAGAGATTGAAAGATGGGCTCAAAGCCAACCTTAAAGACCTCACAACCTCTGAGGATGCTTGCCATAGGTGCAGGCGAAACATCAGGAGAAAATGCCTCTAGAACATGGCCATATAACCCGGAAAAACCTAGAACAACCCAGTGATTCTGGCCATGAAAGCCTTTGACAATACAACCTTAAAAACTCTGGCACAGACACTGAGAACTGGGAAGCCCTGGCCCTTGAGCATTCCAGCTGGAGGCCAGCTGTGACCAGCAGTGCTGCAGAATTTGAAGAGGCATGAATGGAGGGTGAAAGAGAGAAACGTGCCAAGAGGGAGGTGCGCCAAGCCAACCCCGACCAAGACCGCCTTCCACCTGGAAACCAATGCCCTCACTGTGGGAGAAGATGCAGGTCAAGAATAGGGCTCCACAGCCACCTACGGACCCAAAAGAATACTGATCCTGGAAGACTATCCTACTCGGCCAACGAGGGATCGCCTAAGTAAGTAAGTATTCCATTAGCTAAAGGCAGGGAGCAATTGGTCCAAGACACAGAGATTGCCATATAAAATTCATGCTATCTGCTTTGAACTTGATTATAGGACAGTGTAGACCCATATAATCGAGTTTGAAGCAGATAACGAGGATCGTGTGCTTTGATCATCTGGATTATATGATAATGTAGACTCATGTAATCCAGTTCAGGGCAGATCATGCCTGCCATGCTGGTTATTTATCGAATCATCAGCAACCAGTCAATTATATTACATTTCTAACAGAACAAAGCAAACAAACAGACAAAATACAAAATTTGCGAGTTTGGTAGTTGATTAAATGTCCTTTGACCAGTATCTGGCCACTTGGAGTGCCTCTGGTGTTGCCGCAAGAAGGTCCTCCATTGTGCATGTGGCAAGGCTCAGGTTGCATTGCAGCAGGTGGTCAGTGGTTTGCTCCTCTCCACACTCGCATGTCGTGGATTCCACTTTGTGGCCCCATTTCTTGAGGTTGGCTCTGCATCTCGTGGTGCCAGAGCGCAGTCTGTTCAGCGCCTTCCAAGTCGCCCAGTCCTCTGTGTGCCCAGGGGGGAGTCTCTCATTTGGTATCAGCCATTGGTTGAGGTTCTGGGTTTGGTTGAGGTTCTCCCTTTTGTCCTTTGTAGATCTTAGAAAACTATGTCTTGATTTAAGTCGTTGACGTGCTGGCTGATACCCAAACAGGGGATGAGCTGCCTTGGTCCTTTCACTATTGGCTGCTACTTCCCGGCGGATGTCAGGTGGTGCAATACCGGCCATGCTGGTGCCCACGGGGTAAACCCAAGGAACACGGTTTCCATCCCTCGCTGGCTGCTTTGCGATTATGAAATGCGGACAGCTTAAGTGTGGGACACTTGCGGTTTCTTTGAGTGCAGGGATATACAATGCTCCAAAGTGCATTTTTCGCCTGGTCGCGGGTTTTAAGCCAACCTTTTTATCACGTGTTTATCATGCCATCCTGCGATGCTGTGTGCATTTTCGGCGTGCACCATCTAGCCACTCACCCCTTTTATCCCACTTTCTTCCAAAATGTAAGGCCTGTGTAAAAGGGGCCTTAGGCTGGATCCACACCACTGTTTACCCCAGGATCTAGTCCCAGATTGTCTGCTTTGAACTGGATTATATGAGTCTCCAATGACATATAATATGGGATCAAATCCTGGGGTATAGGGCACTGTGGAAGGCCCTTTGCCTAATCCAGGGGCCCTCAAAATTTTTAAACAGAGGGCCAGGTGACAGTCTATCAAACTGTTGGAGGGCCAGATTATAATTTGGAAAAAAAATGAATTAATTCCTATGCACACTGCACATATCTTATTTGTAGTGCAAATAACACTTTAAAATAATTCAATTATTAGAATCATAGAGTTGGAAGAGACCTCATGGGTCATCCAGTCCAACCCCCTGCCTAGAAGCAGAAATATTGCATTCAAAGCACCCCCGACAGATGGCCAATCCAGCCTCTGTTTAAATGCTTCCAAAGAAGGAGCCTCCACCACAAGCCGAGGCAGAGAGTCCCACTGATGAATGGCTCTCACAGTCAGGAAGTTCTTCCTAATGTTCAGATGGAATCTCCTCTCTTGTAGTTTGAAGCCATTGTTCCGTGTCCTACAATGAAGAACAATTTTAACAAATATAAACTTAATTATATTTCAATGGGAAATGTGGGCCTACTTTTGACTGATGAGATAGAAATGTTGTAGTTGTGTGCTTTCAAGTTGGGTTGTTGTAGGTTTTTTCGGGCTGTATGGCCATGGTCTAGAGGCATTCTCTCCTTACATCTATGGGAAGCATCCTCAGAGGTAGTGAGGTCTGCTGGAACTGGGAAAAAGGGTTTATATATCTGTGGAATGACCAGGGTGGGACAAAGGACTCTTGTCTGCTGGAGCTAGGTGTGAATGTTTCAACTGACCACCTTGATTAGCATATAATGGCCTGACAGTGCCTAGAGCAAGCTTTTGTTCAAGGTGATTAGATGTCCTTGTTTCTTTCCTCTCTGTTGTTGTGCTGTTGTAATTTTAGAGTTTTTTTTAATACTGGTAGCCAGATTTTGTTCATTTTCATGGTTTCCTGCTTTCAAGTTGTTTCAGACTTAGGTTGACCTTGAGCAAGGGCCGAGTAAATGACTTTGGAGGGCCGCATCCGGCCCTCGGGCTTTAGTTTGAGGTCTAATCTAATAGTGTCTAGATTTACACTTGGAATAACTAACAGAAATGCAGACGGGACATAGACAATGAACAGGTGATGTGCAACTACTAAATCTTGCCCAGAGGCCCATCCTCACTCCAGGATGATAGTGATGTAAAAAGGTAAAGGTAGTCCCCTGACATTAAGTCCAGTCATGTCTGACTCTGGGGTGTGGTGCTCATCTCCATTTCTAAGCTGAAGAGCCAGCGTTGTCCAT